CTGCACTGCCTGGACTTTCTTTAGTCATTCAAGTCTAGGTAAATATGAACTCTTTGCCTGCATGTCTAGAGTTATTATCTCACAACTCCCATATTTTGTTTGTGTATCAAATAACTAGTTTTCTTTTTAGTTAAATCAATTAGTCTTCTAGGTTATAAACCATTCTTTGATTGAATAAATTACACCCGCCCTTCCCTCCTAGGGTATAGGTCCGAGCCCTAGGTTGTTTGCCTCTTGTCATTGAGCAAGCAATTAAAAAAAAAGCCCTTTAAGTTTTGTTAGAAATAATTGTCTTGTATTTTCATTGAATAATACGTCTCTATATACAAGTTTTAGGAATAAAAAAAAAAGAAAGCTAAACTTAATTACAAATAGAGTATTTTATTTTAATACTTTTTAACCTAGTTTAACCCCATTTATATATAAAATACATTTTTTAGCGCACTCTCGCAAGCTGGGGAATAGATGTTACCCATCTCTAGCTTAGTAATGATAGTCTAAAATGCTGAATTACTCAAATATTTAATCAACACATTTGTAAGTTGTAACTTGGTGGGCACGTAAGGAGTACATATCAAACCACTATCTAACTTCTTCTTGATAACATACTTATCAACTTCAATTGTTTTGTCTTATCATACTGTACAAGATTGTGAACAATGTTGTGACAGTAAAGATGCATTAGGCCTTTCTACTTGACTATTAGATCTTCTAGGAGTTTTTTTAACTATAATAACTCACATATCTCTTGTACTATTATTCGAAATTTTGAGTCTGTGCTTGATTTTGCAATTATATTTTATTTTTTACTCCTCCAATGACCACATTACTCCCAAGGAAGGTACAATGATCTATAGTAGAATTTTTGTCCTCCATTGATCCTGTATAGCCTGCATTAGTGTAAGTTTTGAGGATTAACTTGTCATTCCTTTTAAACATTATGCCTTTCCCTGGTGTTCCTTTTAGGTAGTGTAATACTCTATAGGCTGTCGATAAATGTACCTCTTTAGGGTTATACATGAACTGACTTATCATACTCATTGTATAGGTAATGTTAAGTCTTGTATGTGATGGGCAAATCAATCTCCAAATTAGTCTTTGGTTCATCTCTTTATCTATTTGTGTGTTCTCTTTAGTTGGTTCCAACTTATGATTGGGGGTCAATAGGTATATTAACTGGTTTACATACTAGTATACTTGTATCTTTCAACAAATCATTTACGTATTTCCGCCATGAGATGAAAAATCCTGATTTTAAATGAATTACCTTCGATTCTCAGGAAGTACTTAACTTTTCCCAATTCTTGGATTTCAAACTTTTTGGCCGGGTAGCGCTTAAGCCTATGTTTTTCTTCTTCATTCTTGTATCTCTCCGTGCAAGAATGCATTTTTAACATCAAAATTATTATAATTGCTAGTTAAAGTAGGCAGTTTGAAATAGAAAAACTCAGATTGTATTCATTTTGCAACTGGCACAAATATCTCTCGATAGTCTATATCATAAGTTTGGGTATACTTTTGGCTACTAGTCTTGTTTTGTAGTTTTTAGTTGTTCCATTAGCCTTAGATCTTATGGTGAACACCCACTTGTATCCCACAGCCTTCTTTCCTTTAGATAAGTCCACTATGTCCCATATCTGGTTATTTTCTATTGTTTGTATTTTAACAATTATGTTATTTTTCATTTTTCACAAGATAATATTTTAAATACAATGTTAGAAGTAAACTTAGTATTAAGACTCATGAGAAAATTTTTGTGGGGTTGTGAACACTTGTCAAAGCACGTAAATTGTATAATTGAATACAATTGATATTTGGTTAGGGTTTTTGGATTGCAATTGGTACATTAAAATCAGGTTGGCTAGGGTTATCGGAACTTACTTATGTTCCAGAACTTGTTTCTGATGCTTGACCCTGCCTTAGCTCATAATCTAGATTCTTCCTCATTGAGTACACCTGAGTAAATCTTGGATTATGTAAGGCTTTTTGCGTAGGTTGAGTGGGAGGGTTTCCTTCTGGTGGTGTAGGTGGCAAAGCTGGTTTGGGAGGTAATTGTGGAAAGTTGAGGTCCATTGAAAGACCTATACCTTTATCTTCTAATATAGACTCCCCATGAAAATAAGGTTGGGTGAAATCGGATTATCTCGCAACAAAGGTAACATTTGCAACATATAAAATTTTTGTGTAGACGGATGATAGTACGCGTACCTCTTTTAAGGAGTATCCCACAGACATGTTTTTTAAAGTTTTAGGATCAAATTTCCCTCTTCAATGGGTATAGATATGAACAAATATGACACATCCAAATATCTGAGGGATTAGATGGTTTGTGATGTTGGGTTCTAGGTAAAATTTGGAAAGGGCTTCCAAAGAGATTTTAAAATCAAGGATACTTGAGGGAAATGTAGTAATAAGGGCTGTTTTGCTCCAATACTGTTTAGGAGCGTGTTTTTAGGATGGGAAGGTTTGGGTAGTAGCAAGAAGGTGATTATTCTTTCGTTCTACCTCCCTATTTTGTTGTGGAGTGTGAACACATGATGATTTATGAATAATTCCTTTTTTGTTGAAAAGGAAGATAGTGTATGATGAAAAAAGTCTTTTGCATTATCAGTACAAAACCTTTTTATGTGAGTTCCAAACTGAGTTTTGATTGTTTTGCAAAATTAAGGGGTTATGTGACTCACATCATATTTTGCCTTAAGTAAAAAAAATCGCATGACTCTAGTGCAATTATCAATGAATGACAGAGACCATCAAAACCCATATACATTAGAAGATTCGGCAGGTCTGGCAAAATTACTATGGATTAATAAAAGAAGAAATTTGTATTTTTTATTGTTACTGGAAATGTTACATGCTTATATTTAGCAAATTTGTACACGTCACAATATAAATTTCTATCAATAGAGTATTTAAATCAAGAAAAAAACTTTTGAAATGGAAAAGGAAAAATGACCAAGTTGCTTGGTGGTAGAGCATATCGTAATGGCGGAGAGAGATAGTGCAGGTACATCGAAGTAGAGTATAATTCATTCCGGGTTTCAGTATGTACAATAATCTTCCCCGAATTATGATCCTAAAAATCACAATGAGAAGAAAAAAAGTTATTTTGCAGTTCAGGTCCCTAATTAATTTAGTGATTGACATAAGATTAGTATAAAGTTTAGGGACATGTAACACATTTTCAAAAACTAGATTAGAGCTAATCTTAATGGTATCAGTTCCTGTAATGGTGTTTAGAGACCCATTCACAGTAACAATTTCCTACTACTTGGGCATGGAAAATGTGTGTAAAAGTGCCTTGAGAAATTAATCATAATATCGTTGGCCCCTGAGTTTATAATCCAGGATTTCTCAAATAGTGGATCTAAGAGATTTAAACTACGTGAATGAGAAAACATACGTGAATGTGCTAACAGACCTTTACTTTTGGACTTCTCTAGGTCCTCAAGTCTGTTTCTTAGCCATTCAATTTCAATTTTCGATTAACTTGGGTCAGTGGATTTCTCTTCATCCTGGAGATTAACTACATGGACTTGTCTGTAAAGCTTCTGTTGGGAGTTCTTGTACCCTCATTTTGGCTGTAGGTAATGTGCTTCCTGTGGTGTTTCTAACATTTTTTTTTGGTGCGTTGAAACTTCTTACAAAAGGTACACCACAAATTGTCCTTATTCTCTTTGTGTTTTCATTATTACTTGGCTCTTTTCCTTGTTGATGTGGTTTGGAGTATTTATTTGCTATTGTTGAATTGTCAGTAGTGTGGGATTCTAGCATAATTTCTCTCTTGCTTTCTTCAATACTAATCAGGGATACTACCTGATTCAAAGATGACATCTCTTCTTTTCCTAGGATCTGAATTCTTACCTGATCATATTCTTCGTTTGAGTTCTGCCACGAATTGATATGTTTTTTCTTTTTCCAACATCTTCTTCAGGGTAGTGGCATCTTTGCTACTTTCCATAGTGAAGTAATGATATTGATTAAGCTCCTGCCACCAGTTTTTTAATAGGTTGGCATATTTTGTGATCACTTCGTTCCCTATTTAAAGCTAACCAAGTTTTTATAATCAGATCATAGATTAGGGCTGCTTCTTTTACTTTAGAATAAATTTTTACTGACTAGGTCCTTTACTTCTCTTATATTAGGTAAGAACATAATAATATTACTTATCTCTGGTGTCATTGAGTTTTAGAGGCAAGTCATCATAAATTGAACCCTCTTCATCCCATGGATCAAAGTTTGGGTCTCTGGTTTTGATCCAGTGACTAGAATGCGACTGATTTTTCTTCTTTCTTTTAGAATGATCTGAGTCAATTGTGACGAATTCAAGGGGGTTTTTCCCATTGAAATGATAAGCAGCCTCGATGAGCTGGAATTCTCCATTAATTTGTGCAGAATTTCCCATGTAAGAAATTTTGCAAGTGATTTGAGATGTAGTATTTGATATAATTTAGGTTTTAGGGCAATTAACATCAATTAAGTAAACCAAAAAATAAGGGTTTTACCGGCTGGAGTGGCTGTGGCATGGCTGGGCAGTGGTGGCTGATCAAACTGCAGCTGGACAGTGGTGGCTGTATGACAGGGGTGTCGCTGGAGACAGGTGCGGCTAGGGGGCGAGGAAGCACCTGGGCAGCAGACACAGCTAGAGGGTCTGCGCAGCTGCAGGTGGCTGATCCTGCGGCTGCTGGTCATGTTGCTGCTGGTGGTGGCGCCAATGCTGGTGCGCGGCTACTGGTGGCAGCTGCCTGGCTTCTTTCGGGTTATAAAGCCTGGTGGTGGCTGGTGTTCCGACAGGCTATGAAGGTCACCCTTTAGAATTTTATTTTTTTCTGGCAGTGAAGGTCAAATAGAACTTTTAGAGAGTTCTGGTTTTAAATCTGGAGCTTTGATACTGTGTCATGAATAATTATGTTATATTCTCATTAATAATACGTGTACTTTTTTTTAAATACATCCCTATATATAATAGCTACAAATAATCACAAAGATTGTATTTTACTTTAATATCTTTTAACCTAATTTAGCCGTATTTATACATAAAGTACATTGTTTAACAGTGTTTGAAATGCATCAAAACAAAACCTTGATTGAGCTTTGATATGTGTATTTAAGAGTGTATGACCAGTAGAAGAGAAGATAGAGTTGCCTAAATGACTGAAATGCACTTGACAAAAGACTTGCTCTCTCCAAGATAACAAAAGTTGTAATATTATCAAACTCATTTGTGCATCTGCTGGTCATTCATCTTTTATTGCACTGTTTGTGGCTTCTTTTGTGTATTGTGTTGATTTGAGTTCATCATCTGGTATATCAGTGTGGTTGGTGTTGTATTGGCTTGAATATATCATCTGGTATATCAGTGTTATTGGCCTTGTAGGGAACTTTTCATAAAGTTTTAATATACTTCCGTATCAGAGAGAGTTTAGTAAAAGCAATAGTCCAATGATTAAACCTAGAAGCAGGAATCAGAGAGACTTCCAAAAGAATGCATATATTGAAAAGGAGCACCAGTGTTAGCATATAATCTCACATGGATCTTGTCAGACAAAACATTTATTAAGCAAAATCCAAAGAACTAGTTTCAGACCAGTTATCATTTTTAGATGTTATTTGCTTAAATTCATGGTTCTGCAGTTTCCTCATGATTTCCGTGTCTTTATATTGATGTTTCAGGGAAGTGAGAAGCTCGTACAGCTACTTTCACATGAATTACAGGCTCAAAACTCGAAAACTTCCAACGGGAATGAGAGTGTCAATCAGCATGATGACTCTGAGCACGGAATCAACAATTCTCAAGTTTCCATATGTGTAAGTTCAATATGATTCAATTCACATGATGTTTGTTTTAATTTTTCCCTATGTGTAAGTTTCATATGATGTCAATTGACAAAGAATACGAACATTAGGAAAGAATTTTAGTAAATGAATTACTTCAAAGAAAGAAAACAATAACGAACACTAGTAATGGGCTCTTGTTCATTTGAAAGTCTGTACTACAATTTTGATTTCTCATACATTTTGTGAGTTATCGTTACAATCCTATCCATTAGAGCTATAATTAGTCTGACAATGTTTTAAGTTACTGAAATAAGGATTCATTTTCTTTTTCCCCTAAAGGTGTTGCAGCCATCAAAAGAACTTGAAAAACTGACTCGTCATGGGGCGGAAAATGGTGGCCTTAGCGAATGCGCTATTTCAAAAATCTGCAAGACCTTTCATCTGAACAAGATTGAGGTTTTAAAGTACAGGGATTCACTGTAATTGCAACTTTTTCACTTTCAATGTAACATAGACAGGTTTTTTCCGGAGGAAATGAAACAAGTTTCTACACGAAGTCACTGTGACTTTTGTTTTTGTTCATCGTTAGGTCATTAAACACGGATTTTGGTATATGTTTAATGAATCAACTGTAAAGATGGTGCTAAGCCAGTTTTTATTTAAAAAGAAGATGGTCCTAACCAGGTGCCATTAGACTACACTTGGAACTGAATATTACTGGGAGAAACTGTGGTTGCTATCACATGAAGTGAAGAAACTGTAGTTGGGATCTTCAGCCAAAGCCGGGGTTAATACTACTGCAAATGAATTGTTTGTCTTGTTTTCACTACCCTACGAAGGAAAAGGAGAGTTGAGTCTTAGCCATTCTTTGTGATCTATACTTGTCTGTCTTGTTGAGCACCTAGTGCCCTAAATGTTGGATGTTGATATTCAAATACTCAATTAAGCTATACAAATTTTGTCTGACTACCATACCTTTGTTCGTCTCTAAGGTATCTGTAGTAAACTTTTTCTCTTTTGATACCTTGCTCTTAACTTTAAAGTTATACAGTCATAAAATACTGCTAAATGATTTATTTCTGTGGATTTGTACAGATAGAAGATAGGAAATTTTCATTTTGTTTTTTGGTCTTTTGATGCTTCATAAACGTGATAGCAAAATTTTCAAGTTCGTTAATACTTCATAATATATTGAAGTTGATTAATAAGAAAACTTCTGTAAATAAAGATATGATAATACTTGATCTTTTGAGTCGCGATTGAAATATCAAAATTCTTCATATCTAAAGAGAAGTTAAAACATGTGTTAATCATCTGATTTTAATAGGTTTTATCAAATTATTGTCTCACTTGTTCCAACTTAACACTTATAATACGACTTGGGTTTATCTGATGCAATATTAGTTATACTTGTGTCATTTTTTATTTTAGAATAATAATAATAATAATTAATTGACAAGGAATTGAAGAAGGTAATTGTATGATTTTTTTAAAACATGAGAAAATTAGTGTGTATTTTTAAATATATCCAAAATTTTACCCAGTTCACTTCAAAAACAATTCCTAAATATTTTATCTTTTTTTTTCTTTGTTCCTTTTTTCAAGGAAAAAAAAAAAAAAACAGAAATCAACCCGATAGTCAATTGAGACCGGAGTTGCCCATTAACGGCCCATTGCATTACAAATGGGCCTATTTCTCTTAGCCCATAGATTATAAGCCCAAGTAAGTACAAACACGTGCTATTCACGCGCGATTTTGGCCTCTCCTATAATTGCACCTCCTCCAGTAACCATGTGTTAAATAATAGGCATCGGCTAGCTGCTCTTTTGCTCTCTCCTTTCCTCTCCAACAAGAAAGAACCCTTGCGCTGAAGTTCAATCTTCCTCTCTCCATTTCACTCATTTTCATCGAATCAAATCGAACGCAGTAGGGAGAAATGGGGCGGGACATAGAAGATGAGGTCAAGGACGAGAAGAATCCACGTCCTCTCGACGAAGATGACATCGCTCTTCTCAAAACATATGTAAGCTCTACTAACTCATCAAAAACCCTAGAAACTCCCTGCTTTTTTGCTTATCTTAGATTTGCATCCAGTCAATCTTCAATTATCTTAGTGATTTTAGTTTTATCTTTTTTGTTTTTCACTTTGGATTTTGTGTTTGGTGGAATCTTGTGCAGTTTGCTTGTGCCGCCTCTCTAGCATTTAACCTTAGTTGTTTCTCTACGTTCGTTATGCTTCATTTGCGTTTATGGCATACGATATTTTGCGTTTTCATGGTCGAAATTTTAACTAAAGTAAATTGACCAGAATAGCAGGTTGGCGTGGTAGAGACCTAGGTTTTAGGGATTTCAAGTGTATATAAATGACTACTAAGGTGAGCTAGTACAAATCAATAAGTTCATGTCTGTAAAACTGTGTTGGGTTACGGGGAAATAAAGTCAGCTCCTTTTTTTTTTTTTCCTGAGCTTTTCTGTGATAGGCGGACAATCTTGGGCACTTCGATCTATATGCTGATTGGGGTGGGCTTAGATGTATCTCTCAAATTACATGTGCCTTACGTTTGCTTGGAGATATAGTGCCCTTGTTTATGTCATTGCAAATTAGAGACATTAACCAGAAATGCAAAAATGAAATAGAGATATTTGAAAAAAATTCCACTTATATTTCATTATCCTCTGTGTCATGCATCATTTAACACATAAGAGAGATTACTTGAGAATGCAAAAAGAAACTTTGTACAGGAAATGGAATTGCCAACTTATTATTATGACTTTTTTCTTTGGAAATTTTAGTTATAAGAAACTAACTGGATTCTCAGAATTCTTTTTTAATGCAATGAAGCAAAAGATAAATCAACTGATGTTTAGGACCATTCCAGTCATCTATTACATAGGATAAATCACCTGTTGTTTCTTGAAATAGGGTTGATTGTTTAATTTGGGTTGATAAATTTTGACACAGGCACTGGTAAGTTCTCTCCAGGTATACCTTTGTTGTGGTTTGATTGACCATCTCTTCTTTTGATTAACAGGGTTAATATATCTTTGCTCCTGTCAATACTATTTCCTTAAAAATGTTTATGTTACCATTTTAGCTAAGCTTGTAAGGTTTCTGCAGGGCTTAGGACCTTATTCTGCTAGTATAAAAAAAGTGGAGAAGGAAATTAAAGAAATGGCCAAGAAGGTCAATGATTTATGTGGTACGCTTCTCTTTTCATCAGTGTTGGGTTCTGTCAGTTCAATTTATTTCTGCATGATTAAATAGTTGTGATATTTAAATTCTGAATTCCTATAATGGCTTGGCAACTTTGAATTTTAAAATAGGTATTAAGGAATCTGACACTGGATTGGCGGCACCCAGCCAGTGGGACCTTGTCTCTGATAAACAAATGATGCAGGAAGAACAACCTCTTCAGGTATTGTCTCTTTGAAGTGGATATCACAAAAATGCTTTCATCTGATATAAGTTTCTAATTACTGGCTGTTTTCCTGACCAGGTCGCAAGGTGCACAAAGATAATCAATCCAAACACAGAAGACGCTAAATATGTAATTAATGTTAAGCAAATTGCAAAGGTATAATTAACTTACGAAAACTTTTTTTTTAAGTTGTGAGTACAGTTCTGGAACAAATATGAGAGTTTCATAAAAGTGGCTTCTAGGAGCTTTCAGTGGTTACCATGTATGAGATGCTGGCCAACCTACCGTTCATCTTTTATTGATAAATTTTTGGCAAATCAGAACTAATCTTATTTTGCCTTTTACTTTCTCAACTGCAGTTTGTTGTTGGATTGGGTGACAAAGTTTCCCCTACTGATATAGAAGAAGGCATGCGAGTTGGGTATATTTTCTGTTTGTTAAATTCTTCTCTTGATTCTTATGAGTGAGCATCTTTTTTCCCACATTTCTCATAATATATATTTTGGCAAAACAAGTGAAGTTGCTTTTCCTTCCCTTCTATTTGAAATTGATTTGTGATTTCTATTCTAGGTTATATTGTGATCCTCAACAATGAAGCAGGAGACTTTATGTTGCTTTTAGTTGTTTGCTACTTGCAATGCTTCTGTGTTGATATTTTAAAGATCTATATTTCTTTTGTGTCATGTGCTTAGTTATGTGCCTGAACTGATACTCTCAAGGGGTGTTTGGGGAAACCAGAGGATAGCTGTTGCTTCTAGAAGGAGACTCTCTTTCTTAATGGATTCATTATTATCGTAATGATATGTTAGATTTTAGGAAGAACTTGTTTCCATGATTAAAAAAGTTTTGGAAATTGGTTCATGTTCGGAAATTTTCAATTGTTCACTGAATATATTGTTTAGTTGAGAATCAAGGTGAATTGGTTGCCACGTAAAAACACATCACTTTTCTGCTATATTTACTTATTTATTTGCTAGAGGGCAGAAAGGCACAAAGCCAAGTACAATGCCTTATCTACAGAATCATTTGGAATTGTTACTTGTATATTATCTATTCTTCATAATCTTTTTTTCCTTTTCTGTGCAATTCCTCTTTTTGTGAGGTCAGGCCTTGTTCTGAAGTTTACTGCATATAGAAGTCTATCCCTTTAATTTACCATTGTTCTCTTATGCAGGGTTGATCGAAATAAATATCAAATACAGATTCCTTTGCCTCCCAAAATTGATCCAAGTGTGACCATGATGACAGTGGAAGAGAAACCGGATGTTACATATAATGATGTTGGTGGATGTAAGGAGCAGATTGAAAAGATGCGAGAAGTATGTATAATTCCTCAACCCAACAATTCTCTTTGAATACAAACCTCCTAATCAGCCAGCCCCTTGAAGTATCTTTTTTATATTACCAACAGCAAATTTTTTTCATTAGTTAACAAATTAGGTCATATCATCTGGAAATTGGATTTGTTGCCTGGATACTTCAGATGCATGTCATTATATATTTTCTCTTTCTAGGTTGTTGAGCTGCCCATGCTTCACCCTGAGAAATTTGTAAAGCTCGGGATTGATCCTCCCAAAGGAGTTCTTTGCTATGGTCCCCCTGGAACTGGAAAAACCCTTTTAGCTAGAGCTGTGGCTAATAGGACAGATGCTTGTTTTATTCGTGTTATTGGGAGTGAGCTTGTTCAGAAATACGTTGGTGAGGGAGCTCGGATGGTCCGTGAACTGTTCCAGGTCAGTTTTGGTGGCTATTTTTGTTCTCGACGTAGTTATCTTTTGTGGTATGGTGGTGAAGATATCTGATTAGAGCATTTCTGTTGCAGATGGCACGGTCAAAAAAGGCTTGTATAGTCTTTTTTGATGAAGTTGATGCCATTGGAGGTGCACGCTTTGATGATGGTGTGGGTGGTGATAATGAGGTTCAGCGTACAATGCTTGAAATTGTGAATCAACTTGATGGGTTTGATGCCCGTGGGAACATCAAAGTGCTCATGGCAACAAATAGGTTAGTTCTCTGGCATTTCGATCCTTCCTGCACTGTTGATCATATTTGAGGCATTATGCTGTTACTATTTCTTCTTTTGCTTCTAAACATGTATGCTATACCTATAGAATGGTTCTTTCAGCATGTCATTCTTGTATTGAGTTTTCTGGTTATCATATTTGAGGCATTATGCTCTGACCATTTCTTCTTTTTCTTTTATACATGTATGCTATGGATAGTTCTTTCAGCATGTCCGTGTTTTGTTGTGTTGTGTTTTTTGTTTATCATATTTGAGGCATTATGCTCTAACTAATTCTTCTTTTCCTTCCATGCACATATGCTATGCGTGTAGGATGGTTCTCTCTCAGCATGTCCATAATGTCTTGTGTTGTGTTTTTTGGTATAAATTTTCAGGCCCGACACGCTTGATCCTGCCCTTCTACGGCCTGGGCGATTGGATCGTAAGGTGGAGTTTGGTCTTCCTGATTTGGAGAGTAGGACACAAATTTTTAAGATACATACACGAACAATGAACTGTGAAAGGGATATCCGTTTTGAACTCCTTGCTCGGCTTTGTCCAAATTCCACTGGTAAAGATGCCTTTTTCTAGATTTATACTTCATGCACTGCTGAAATTTAAACGGCTTGACCATTCTTATGAATATATTTTTCCAGGAGCTGATATAAGGAGTGTCTGCACGGAAGCTGGAATGTTTGCCATTCGAGCACGAAGAAAAACAGTGACAGAGAAAGATTTCCTGGATGCTGTGAATAAGGTCATAAAAGGATATCAAAAGTTCAGTGCAACACCAAAATATATGGTCTACAACTGAGTTAGGGTCAGAACCATTTTGAATATGTCTACCCTATGGATGCTCTGGGGCCTTTTTTAGCTGCTATGTGTTGTTTTAAAATTATATGCTGAGAACGTTCATGCTTTGCACAATTTGCACGCTACTTTTGTCCATTGGCGGTTATATCATGAAACTTTTTACCAATCTCGTGAAAAAGTTGGAACTTCATCGATATTCTTTGCTTGGCGTATCTATGTACCATTGTAGATCTTACAGTTGTGAAGATAATTCTTCTGCATGGTTCATTTTTCACTTGTTACACAGTTTTTAGATTTGAGTTTAACGTTTTTACATTTCTAGTATTAACCCCTTGCTTTTAACAGTGTTCATGTTATGTGTGAAATAATAACTTGAGGCTATGTTTGGAATGAGGTCAGATTGCTCTTTTTTTCAATATATATATATATATATATATATGTAATAAGTAAAAATTCCATTGACTGTCTAGCCGTATGAGGTAGGAAACTCTCAAGTACGGTTTTAAGGGAAGGAATTGACCCGCCTATTCCTACTGGGGAGAACAGGCCATTCGACAGGGAGATTCTGAAATTGCAGAGGCTTGGTTTGCTCAAGCCGCCGAGTATTGGAAACAGGTTATAGCACTTACTCCTGGTTGAAGATCACGAGATGTTTTGAATAAGAACTTCCTGTTTATTTTTATGTTTTTGAATGATATATATTTGATTTGTTATAATTAAAATTAAATTAATTGTTTGTTGGCCCCATCAATCAAATAAAACCAGATTATTTTTAGAGGAAAAACTAATCAAAGAATTTCATTATATCCCTTTCTAAGATCGTTCTTTCTCATCTGGCATTTTGTAGGGATAAGTAATTCAGAAATACGAGAATCTATTTATTTTTCTTGTGGGTCTCTCTTTAGCTCTGTCTTTTATTCCTAAGAGATTTTTCTCCACTAGCAGGTTTTTTTCGGAAAACTCCATTTATTCTTGTGTGGATGGTAGGCAGACTTATATTTTTTAGTTTCAATAAGATTTCTTACGAGCGTTCTTTCTATTTACTATTATCTAAAAATAATTAAGTTATTTACATTAATTGCTACATCATCAATCTTACTGATTAGTGTACCCGTTGTATTTGCTTCTCCCGATGGTTGGCTAAGTAACAAAAATGTTATATTTTCTGATACATCATTATGGATTGAATTATTCTTTTTGGTAGGTATCCATAATTCTCTTATCTTTTGAATCCATTTGTTCCAGATCCAAAAACAAATTACTCCTTCCGCGAATTTTTTTTTTTTTGTTTTCTTCTTTATTTGCATTTTATTTTGAACTTATATTAAATTTGAATGTCTCACAATACTTATAGAGTAAAAATTTATTCTAAACATAGGATGAGTGGTTTGTTCTAAAGATTAAGTTTATATTGTAATTTTAATACTTAAATTTCTTAACTTCTTATTCTATTGTTTATATTTTAACATAATTTCTACACAAGGTAAAAATAGAAATTGTTGATATGTTTTTCATCAATGATGTCTGGCCAATGGTTATCTCTGTTATCTTCCTCTTTAGGAAGTCATTTTTTATTATCAACATGCAGTTCTATGCATATCACTTAAGTTGAGGTACTTTCCCCAAAGACTCCAGCTTTTGAGAGGTATGGAGGGGAGAGGATAAGGAAGACAGATATGGCTTACCTTATTGGTGAAGTATTCTGATATCTAAAACGTAACATTAGAAACATATTCCAATAATACATTACAAATTAGATACTTAAAATGTTAATTTTACAAATCTAAAAACCAAAACATTTATTAAGTAGAACACCCAGATGATAGATAATATGTTGTTAGTTCAAACTACGGGAAATTTGGGATTGAATAAAATATTTATTGTTGAAAGAAGCAAATATAAAGGGACAACCAACGAAAAAAGGACGGCCATGTTACAATGGGAAGCTTGGTTTTTGTCCAATTCATTTTTCAGAAGCTCGAAGCTAGACTACGTTGGAATATTACAGGGTGCAGACCTCACTTCAAACTCAACTTGGGTTTTCTGTGTACAGTATACTCAGCAGTATTACAATCCTTTAAAGGGAAAAAAGAAGGGCATCTAAATGTTCATCCAACCAAGAAATCTCAGTGCTACAATCCATCACATGTAATCGTTTGTACCCAGGTCGTCACCTCGTGATGCGCCTTGGTCAACTCCTATAGTCCTTTTGCTCATGTTTGCTCGCTGCACTAACCGTACCAATGCTTGAACAACTTCTGACATAGGTGGTCGGAACTCGGGTTCCGGCTGTTCCACAACAATCACCATAAAGGATCAGGACATTACAACAAACACCAGTAAATGATTCCATTGGCATTTTGCTTTGGAAAGAGGACATGACAAAAAGAATGAAGTTTTAAGTTATGAAATCTCATTTCATGATCAGGACATTACAACAAACACCAGGAAAACGACTCCATTAGCATTTTGCTTTAGAAAGAAAACACGGCAAAAAGAAATAAGCTTTTGAGTTCTGGAATCCCA